ATTTGTTTTTCATACTTAAAAAATTTTTTCATACTAAATTACATACTTACATGTATTTATCATATTTATGCTTTTCAAACTACATTGCTCTTTTATACAGAAAAATATGGTATAAGTGAAGTATGTAAATTCTATATTTATAATTGTAGCCTATATTTATGTTATTACCTGAATAAAGTTCATATAAGTATGGTCATAAAATCACAAACTCTGTGTCTGAAACCATTTTAATTACAGTTGCATGTTTCCTAGTCTATTCCTTTCTCTAACAGCAACAAGCAGCATAAAAACTCTGTCCACTCTTCTGATTATATACATTATTCTTGCCTTTATTTTGGTATACTTGTGAACAATAGAAAAATCCTAGCTACAAGTCACAAAATGAAGTCATTTCAATACTAACTTGGGTATTTCTTTAGTTGTTGAGGTGGATGGCATTAACAGAGGAAATGACAAATGCATTTTGGGTTGTCTGTCATGGTGGAAAGAGCTCAACATTCTCCCTACTCACCCCACAGTGACTTCACCCTACATGTTACACCTGTATCTCAAGTCTCCCTAGTCAGACCATGTTAAAATTATAAATTATAACTGCGCTGGGCCCTTCTTGGTGGTATAATGGGTTGAAGCACTGCACTATGAAGCTAGCCTCAGCCACTTCAGCATAAGTTCAAGCCCCAGCCAGAGAGGTGACCCACATAGTGCAGCAGACCTCTCCTGTCTCACCTGCTGCTACCCTCAGCAGTGTACTTTATCAATCTGACACTCTGTCTCTGGTGAATTCTCTCATAGCCCCTGCATCTCTGGCCTGTACCCCAGTTCTGTATGCATAAATAGATATTAAAATAAATGAACTGTGTTTAGTGTTTTTCTCTTAACTCGATCATACCAAGTAAAGTAAGCAAATAATTTTTGCAAATCAAACTTACTCCATCATCTTAGAGGGGAATTAAAGTTATCTGACATACTAAATAAAAGGCTATGTAAAAGAAAGAAGCCAGACCTAGCAGCACATATTGAATAATCTCATTTATATGAGGTATAAAAAGCAGGCAAAATTAATATTTATCCGCTAGAAATCAAGGCAGTGGTTACTTGTAGGGGGGGTATAGTAACTGGTAGAGGGTATGATAGATGTTTCTGGGTGTTAGTATGTTCTAGTCCTTGATCCAGATTCTAATTATTCAGTTGTGCTCACCTTGTAAAAACTCATCAAGCATAAGATATAGGCACATCCTGTAACAATATTTTTCCTCAATTTAAAAAAAAATGTATTTTTGTTGTTGTTGTTCTTGTTGTTCAAATTTGCCTAAGTAGGAAATTAGACACATTTGGAACTTGGGCATCTTTTAATAAAACTATATGCTAATGCCATTTTAAAAAGACTCTATTACATGTCATTCTCTTGGAGTGAGTAAGGAACACGCTTTTATTGCATAGATTTCCTATGTGTGATTCATGTATTTTTTTTTCATTTTATTTTCAATCAATTGAATCTATGAGTCCACCAGAGAAAAGATAGAGTTCAGTCTTGTCTTTCCACCTTTTTAATAATATATACTACAGAAAATAATTAAAGAAACATAGAAAACTACTTCTCCAGGGAAGAGAATGTGCACAGGAGGCCATTTACTAAATTATTTTCTTCAAGAAATAGTCATATATTCTGGAAAAATCACAAATTAACATTCCAACTCCAGAAATCAGTAACTACAATATGAAAGAAATAACTGTGAAAAGAATGCCCTCAAATTTAATTTACTAGCAGGTAAGATTGCTCAAAAAAAAAATAATAAAAGACTAAGAACACTAAGCTCTCCTCTGAGTTGATGGAAAGACCACTTTCTGCCACATAAAGGCAGAGCAGGTATAAAACATTAATTTATTATTATTTAACCTCCCATCCCTGCCTATTTTGATCCAAAAGGCATTTCACCCACTAGATGGACCCTACAGTTCATCCCCACCTCACCAAAAAAAAAAAAAAAAAAAAAAAAAGCCCTGGTAACTCTGAAAGGTTTTTGAGATCTTTGTACTCTTTCAGATACTGAAAAAAAAAAAAAAAAGGTCCTTTTCCTATTTGGAATAACAGTGATTTTCACCCAAGTTAATCACACAGGTATTCAATCTCTGACAAACAGATGACTATTAAACAACCTGGGTGGGGAATTAGGATCAGAGAAAACATGTTCTCTCAATACTGGTCACAGGTGAACTGAGAGGGAATTATAGAAACAGTTAGATTTAACTACTCATCCTCAAGGGTCTCGAAATCCTCTATGCAAGGGAGGAAAACAATTCAACTACTGCAGCAAAAATGAAAAGTATCTTGAAAGTATCCAGAAAAGAAATGCCCCTACTTTTCCTTTCAAAGGTAGTGTTAGGGCTCATCTGGCTACACACACAACTAATAAAAGCACAAATATTGTACTGCATTTAGAAGCAATTCTTAAACTTCAGGATGTTCCCAACTGCAAAAAAAAAAAAAAATCGTAGTATCACATACTCCTACATCTAAATGGCTTCAAACGTCCCTCCAACAATCTTCATTTTCGCGGATCCTTTTTCTGCAAACCTTTGCAGGTTGAACCTGTTTGACATACCACTTTTAGCAGCAAGCTTGGAGGAAAGAGAAGAGGAATGTGAAGATTTACACCAATACCAAATAATTTTATACTAAGAAATGTTCCCCAGCTTAGCATAAAAGGAGTGGTCCAGTAGTGAACCTGGTTGTGTGGAGTGGAAGGTGGAGAAGTACTGATGTCTAGATAACTCCCAAGGCATAAATCATGGTTTCAAAGCTTTCAGAGGGGACAGAACAAGATTGTGAATTTGTCTTAAGCTCATCTTTAGGCCAAGGAATGCTCTGAACTGGAAACTTGAGTGTTTGCCCTGGATCTGCAACCACTGGCTATGAAGCCTTGGGCAAAACACCTAAAATTCTCTAGGGCTCAGTTTCCCTATCTGTAGATGATTGCCAAGATCCCATTTAGCTTTAACAGTTTAAACTTGATTTTCCCAGTACCCATAACCTAAAGGGAATTGGTCCACTGGAGGGAGCTGCAGAACTTCCTTCTGACAAATTCCAGGGCCCCTGGCCCCAATTCTGGGGAGATGTCAAAATCCTGAAGTAGGTAGAGAAAGGTTGCAAAGCTCTTCTGTCTCAGAGTCACAATTGCAGAAATTCAGTCCCTACAGACACAGCTCCCAGCGATTCCCGAAGCACCCCCCCTTCTGCCAGGTTTTAAGATGCTCCAGAAATGAGGGCCCATCTGAAGCCCGAAAAGCCTACCAGGAAGGTGAGAAATAAGAGTAGAGGGGCAAGGCCCTCTTCTATCCAAAAAGGAGCTGGAGAGATCTGGAGAGGTGTTGGGCTATTCGGAGAGCAGCTTAGAAGCACGTGAGTCAGGGCAAGAGGAAAGCAGTTCTCATCTGTTCCGGACCCCTCAAACCTGGCCTGCGGAAGTCCCAGGCCCTCACCCCAGGCCTCCGTAGAAAGGAGCGAGGCGCAAGGGGCGGGTCGAGGGGCGGAGGCGACACAGCCCAGCCGGCAGCCCTGCAGCTGCGACCCCGTCACTCCCAGGCGGCCTCTGCCCCCAACCCTCGGCCCCATTTGCTAGCTAGCGCAGCAAAACAAAACAAACTCATGCCGGCTTCCTGTTGTGCAATCCAGACCTGAGTAAGTCCGGGCCCAAAGGGCGCCGCCGCTGGCCAGCGGCTGAGAAGCCCAGGCGGCGGGAACCAGCGTGCTGCCCGGCCACCGGAGCCTGGATCCCCAGAGAGCCTCAGCTCCCAGGAGTTCACGTTCTCAGAGCCACACCCGCCACACGTACTGGAGTCCCCACCCACTAAATGCCCCAACCCTTGGATCTCCTTTCAGTTCTTGCCTCCCAAACACCCCCAACAAGTCGAAGACGCGATCCGCGAAACCTGAAATGACCTTTCCCAAAGTTTCTCCCTCAGAATACCTAAATTGAATCATCCATAGGATGACAAATTCATCAGAGCCGAGTTTTCCAGACACTTGGGTGACTTCCTCATCCCCGAGGTGACTTGTCAGCTCCAATGAGTAACTTAGAAGTATCGCTCGGGGCAAGGTGTGCGTCTATGTGTCTAGGACCGCACCAAGTGCTCACTCACGCTTTCCACTGAGCTACCGGAGGACTTCAAAATACACACAGGGTCATTCACAGGGACTGAAGCCGTGCTCAGAACAAAGTTCCCGAGAATGAGACATTTTCCAAACAGTGCTGAATCTTTGCCGGGCCGCCAGAAAATGTAAACGCAAGGTGACGAACCCGGTAGGGAGTGTGCGCGTCTGATTGTCTGCGCATTTTGTGGCGTGGGAGGTTAAAGCTAGACTGCGCGGCAGCGGGTCACCGAACAACCTGTCCCAGCGACAAGTTAACGTACCCACAACCCAAGAACCAAAGCAATGTAGACATAGGTTTGGAAGAGACAAGCGTGGAAAACAGCCTTCTTGGAACTTCACAAACACGTGTAACTGGAAAAGACAGCTATAGCACTATATGCACGAGAGACCTCATGTCACCCAATCAATTCCCACTTCTCCAAAGTTTTCCTTCAGTAGAGACTCATGGCATGCAGGACTGTGTCCATGCATCCAGTAACTCGCCGTGATTTTGTAGCCCTCTGGCCCTTTTAGTCTAAAAGGAAAAAAGGAAAACTCTTCCTGATTAGAGAAATTTTAAAACCTTAATTTCCTTTTTGTTTTACAAACTCAGCGCTCTTGAGCAACTTACAAGTATGCCGCTTGATTCCTACTTGAGGGTTGTTATCTATCTCAGTAAACAGATAGTTCAGACTAATTTATGGGAGTGCAGATATCCTTAAACCCGCGCGAACGCCACTGGCTCTGCAAGGAAAGCTATTTCTAAACCCTAGTTTGTGTCTCTAAGCGTTACCTCCCCCACACTCTCAAGTGCTGGGTTTCTCCCCGTTTCTCGCCAGCGAGTAAAGTTCCTATGGCATCCACTTACCAGGTAACCGGGATTTCCACAACAAAGCCCGGCGTGCGGGTCCCTTCCCCCAGCCAGCCTGCGTGAGTGACAGCGGGAGACCAGCGCTGGCGAGGAGTAACTTAGGGCTCCAGCCCTTCACCCGGCTCCGCCGGCTCTGCCTCCTTCTGAAATGAAAACTCCCATCCAAGCCGGGGAACGCAGCGCGCGGAAACCCGGCCCAAGTGCCGTGTGTGTGTGTGTGTGTGTGTGTGTGTGTGTGTGTGTGTGCGCGCGCGCGCGTGTGTGCGAGGGCAGCAGCGGCAGGCAGAGGAAGAGGCAGGAGTGACTGGACCCTCGGCATCAACTCATTCTCTCCTCCCTCACCAAACTACTCCCACCCCGCCCCCAAACAATATTTTTAAAAAGTCGAGTTTCGACTTTGTGCCCGGCCTGTCCTGCTCATCCTCGCCTGGGGCCTGGGATTGCGTCTGGGGCCGACCCCGGGATGTTGGCTAATTGCTGCTGGCGAGTTCCGTCTGGGGAGCGCTGGTGCGAGCCTGGACGGTTGCAGGAGGTGTGTGGTGGGGGTGGGGTGGGGTGCGGGTAAGGGTGGTGGTTGCGGCCCCGGGCGCCGGTGCCCGTGCGCGCCACGCTCTGGACTGCCAGTGCGGCGCAGTGTGGACTCGGCTGCTGGGAGAGAAGGGAGAAAGAGGGAGGGAGAGAGGGAGGAGGCAGGGAGGCGGCCTGGCGAGGAGTGTGGATGTGTGAGCTGCCGCAAGGGCCGGCCTGCAGCCAGCTGCTTCCTGAGTGAGAGCACCCGAGGGGGAGGGGGGAAGAGGTGGGGGCGGGTTAGCTGGTCACCAGGCTGACCAATTCCGAGGCTGAATTTGTGTCTCCTTCTCTACGAGTTCACAGACACTCCTTTTCGAAAGCCAGGGAGTCGAGGAACTCCAGAACAGCGTTAACAGCAAGAAGACAGACACTTCACCTTCTTCTTGGGCTTTATTTATTGAACTTTTTTAACATGAGAAAGGGGTCCGTGATTTTCAAGATTTGATGTCCAATCGTTAGGAACAAGAGAAGAAAAGATACCCAATAGTAAAACAGTAAAAAATATGAAAAGGGGCCTTTCTAACATACAGGCTTAGCAGCACAAAACTTTTTAGAAAATGGATAGATGACTCACAGAGGATGGCTTGGTATCTTTCTAAAGTGAAAGAGAGAAAAGTGATGAAAAGTGTTACAAGGAATTAAATTCTAAATACAGGCTGTTAGAAATGTAGGCACATTCCCTGTCTATGTTGCATCCATGTTAAGGCACTTTCTTCTTAAGAATTCAAAAACTTCACCTTCATACCCACCGAAGTTGTGATGATCCCAGCCTTTCTTGCTTGTCTTTCTCAGAGCCCTCAAAAAATTGTCCCAAAAGGCTAACCATTAGTAATTCTCAACTCAATGGTTACAGGTGAACTTCCATCTTGGGAATCAATATATATCGAAGGCATAAAACAGCCTCCACTTAGGCCTTTCTGTGATGAACATATCTATCCTCATGAAAGAAATTAATAAGAATATCTCAAGACAATTCAAATTTCACTAGTCCTCATAGTCTAGAGCTCTCATTCAAATATAAATTAGCATTCAGACATTAGATGCTATGATCAAGATAGAAGTCCTCAAGTACAAAATTGAGTCTCACCCCAGAAAACCAAACCAAAATAATTTTATTTCAAAAAGAATATTACTAGGTTGGTCTACATCCATGATACTGACGTCATCCCAAAAAGTCCAGTTTTCACAATACTGCTACTTTTGTCTTATGATCTGTTGTTCAATTTCCCCTTAGGGAAGACATTTTTTTTCCCTTTTAGTAAAGTCACAAACTCATCAGAATATTAATCACCAGAATATGTCAGCAGAAGTAGCAGTAGAAAAATAAACTAAAAAGTGCCTAGGGTATATCATTCTGTCAATATTCCAGTTTCTCCCTCTACTCATCTCCTTTTAAATGCAAGAATCCAAGCTCAGGATGGCAATAGATGGGGTTCAACCACACACAAAAAAACACTCATAAAATGAAGCATGCAGTAACATCACAAAAACAAAGAAACCAAGTAGTAGAAGTTGCCATGATTATTCCATTGTGGCAAGTTATTGCAACATGCCTGACATTCACATAAAAACTCTGTCATTAACTCCAGCACTCATGAGAAGAGGAATATGGGAATACTAACCTTTCAATGCATCATGGGAAATTCTCTTCTTCTAGACTCTTGTGCTGAATAGATTTCTCTTGGGTGATGGTTACAAAAACTTTTCAAGAGTGCTTCAAATATTTCAAATACAGGGGTTTTGATTCATAAAATGGTAACCTAGGGGTTTGTAGGTCCTTCCAAAATTTACCATTTGTAGGGAACAGCTAAGCTGAAATAGAAAAACTTAGTGATATATCCTACTTTAATCAATAGTTTGTGTAAATAAAACATTGAAAAGTTACTGTCATCAACCTGGAGATCCCCAAAATTCTCTTCTCTCAGTAAAAACCCAAAGGTGAGAATGTCATTTATGCCATTTTTTTTTATTTAGGTGGGATTTCATGAGTCTCTAACATTCCTTAAAATTTTACTAGTAGGCCCTCCCTGGTGGCACAGCGGATTAAAGCACAGCACTGAGAAGCTAAAGCCACTTCCGCATGAGTTCGATCCCCGCAGCCCTGGAGGTGACCACATGGCCTAGCAGAGCTCTCCTGACCCGCCCGCTGCTCCCCTCAGCAGTGTACTTCGTCAATCTGCCTGTTCTGCTCCCCACTCTGTCTCTGGTGAAGCCTCTCACCACCCCTGAGCCTCTGGCCTGTACCCCAGTTCTGTATGTACAAATAAAATAAATCTTTAAAAAAAAATTTTTACTACTTAAAAATGTCTCTGGTTTATAGCTGTTCATTGTTTTCATTTTTACTCTATTACATTGTGTGGGGATGGAAGGGGGAATGGGATTGGAACTGGGATGGGAAGAGTGCACTGAACAATGATGATGACACACTGGTGAATTGGTGATAGGAGGCCCATGGAGATAACAACTGAGATGAAAAAATGCACAAAATGAAGAATGATATAAAAAATTAAAATAATTGAAAAAAGGGAACACAGAATGAAAAAAATTACTACTAGATATGTAGAGTGCTATGGTTAACATTTTTTGGTAGTTGTTGGACAGGAATATATATCTGCAATGTTCTTAGATTCCATGTTATATAGCAGAAGTGTAGTGCTCATGATATAACCCAGAAGTGATTCAGAATGAGACCTGCACTTCTTTTGCACTGAATTGGTCAGCAGAAGTAGGATAGAGAAGAATAAAGCAAGAATGTGGGAAAAAAAATAGTGTAGCTTAGCAACAACACTTCCCCTTAAAACTAATAGCCTGGCAGCCTTTCAGCTAGATAGGTAATAACTGTTGTCCAGTTGGTATATTCCATCTCTGGAGTCTTCAGTTGTATATATACCAACCACTGACTCAGGGTGACTTACTTAGTGGACAGGGCCCTGCTTCCAGATTAAGTCCAATTTTCATTTATTTGAGAAATATTTACCTAGTACCTGCCCTGTTCCAGGATCAAGAGGAAAGGAACTATACATGGGAAGGCACTATACATGGGAAGATGTTAGATAAATTATTTTGCTCAATGTCTAGGGTATAGCAAACGCTAAAGAAATGGTGACTTTTTACATATGTCACCTCATCTACTCCTCAAAGTCAATATATGAGATGGTCTTTGGTAATCTTTTCAAAAGCAAGAAAACCAAAGTTAAGTAGTTTAAGACAGTAGGAGGCACAGTTAGATTGATCAGCCTAGAATTCCTTAAAGTTCTTTTGATACTGCTATGCTACAAAATAACTGTGAATGTTCTTTCAAATTGTGCAAAATATATTGCAAGTATATAAAGTATAACTGCAAGATGTTGCTCATCTTGATATCAATGTCAGATAAACATTAAGTGAGTATGAAGGAGGCAAGAATAATTTCTACATGATATGGAGTAGTTTGGTTGTATGAGCAGAGAATTGATAAGCAAATGAGACCTTCCAGCATCTGATAAAGCACAAAAGGCATAGATCTGATGTTTCTACTCACAAAAAGATAGGGTACAATATAGAAACACTTATAACCACAGCAGTGAAACACAGTGAACTCTTAGAGGGAACATGCCAGCAACAAACCTTACTGAAAACTATTATTTGTGTCAGTCTGACTGAGCTGACAGCAAATCATTTACAAACTTGTAAAAAAAGAAAATATGATTAGATTCCAACTCCTGTAAAATGTCTATAGAAAAAACAAACAAACAAACAAACTTGTTTTAACCCCAAGTACAGATAAACTGAGCTAACAGTACCAATGATAGTATGCCTAGCTATTTGTGAATGCATACACTCTTCCGCGCGCATGCTCTCTCTCTCTCAACACACACACACACACACACACACACACACAAATGGGAGCTGGCAAGAGTTCACTTATATAGAAGTGCAGTGGAAAATGTCGGTGTTTGCCAATTTAAAGAGGGGAATTAATATGTTAGATGGAAAATTTCCATTTTACCTTCCTCAGTGAGTAGTACAAACAATGGCATGTTATCAGTCTTGATACCCTAATAAAACTTTTAAGTGATCTTTCTGCTAACTTTACCACAGCACAGTTAGCCTAGACTCTCCTACTTACAAATCAGTGAACGATCTTTAAAAATAATTAGTTATAAAAAAATTATTACTTATACCTATTACATTCATAACATCAGATCTCTTTTCTTAAGGTCAAAACTGTAAATCAGAGTTGAAAATAAATTACTCTACATGCAACTGACCAAAGTGTGAAGTATTTCATTGCAGATAATGTTTCTCCAATGTTTCTCTTTTAATTGGTATCTGTCCTCTTATTTTGTAAAAACACAATTGAGATGCATCTAATATTGAGAAAAGCTGATGGAATAATTCTAAATAAGTTGATGACATATAATTAAAGTGTAGCTACAAAGACTTTACCAAAAGAAATAACTTCATAGATATACATAGATTACATAGTAAATACTCTTACTACATAATACCCATACTGTCACTAATATATGGCTATGGAAAATTAATTATCTGATCATAATAATATCTTATCTATAGCTGTCCACCTTCTAATGACCAGAACTGCATTTCTTCATAAGCCTGCCATGGTCTGGCAATAGTGCTGACAACTATTAAGTGATTA